CTTTAATTTTGAGGGAAACTTCGTACACATGTTGGATATGGTTGCACCACACCAGTTTACATTCCACCCACGGTGCATAACGTCTCTTTTCTCCAGACCCTTGCCGGGACTTGTATCTTGTATTTTTGATAATCGCCATTCTAACAGGTACGAGGTGATGTCTCATCGTGGTTTTAATGTCCACTTCCCTAATAATGAGCAATATTGAGTATCTTTTCATGTACCTGTTGGTCATTCGGATATCTTCGCTGGAAAAATGTTTATTTCTTCTGCTTGTTTTTTTTTAACTTTTGTTAGAGTTGCATACTTTTTATATATATTTTGTTATTAACCCCTTATTGGATATATGGTTTACAAAAACCTTTTTTCCCATTTTGTAGGTTGCCTTTTAATTTTTAATTGTTCTTTTTTTCTGTGCAAAAGTTCTAAATTTTGACATAGTCCTATTTGTTGGTTTTCACTTACATTGTTTTTTGCTTTTGGTGTCATACCTAAGAATTCCTTGCCAATACACAAGAAACTGCTTCTCTTCATTTTCTTCTAGGAGTTTTATAATACCAGGTCCGATGTTTAAGTCTTTGATTCGTTGATCCAGTTTCATTGTTCTGCATGTGTCTATCCAGTTTTCCCAGGACAGTTTCCCCAGACTGTGCTTTCTCCACTGGATGTCCTTGGCTCCTTTGTCAAATATTAGTTGACCACATAAGCAGGGGTTAATTCTGAACTCTATTCCATTTGTGTCTATTTTTCTTGCTAATAATATACTGTTTTTATTCACAGAAAGTGTGATACCTCCAGTATTGTTCTTTTTCCTCAGGATTGCTTTGGCTTTTGGGGACTTTTGTGATTCCACACAAATTTTAGGATTGTTTTTTCTATTTGGTTGAAGAATGGACTGTTTCTCCTATTTGAAGAAAGGATCGGTTTTTCTATTTGGGTAAAGGATTTTACTGCTTTGATGATATTGTGAGTAGGATTGGTTTATTTCTTTTTCATATGTTTCATCTTTACTGTGTAGAAATGTAATTGATTTCTGTATGTTAATTTTATATCCTGTAACTTCATGGAAATCATTATTTCCAACAGTTTTGGGGGGATTTTTTTGGTTCAGTCTTTGGGAATGTCTGTGTACAAAATCTTATCGGCCATGGTGACAGGTTTTCTTCTTCCTTACCAGTTTGTGTGCCTTTTATTTCACTCTCTGGCCTAACTGCGGGAGCTAGCACTCTCAGTGCTGTGTTCAGTAAGGGGAGTGGGAGTGGGCTTCCTAGTCCTGTTTCATATCTTACAGAAAAGGCTTTCAGTTTTTTCTCCATTGCGTATATGTCAGCTGTGGGTTTGTCATTTTTGGTCCTTATTATGTTGAGGTATGTTTCTTCTTTATGCACTATCCTGAGGGTTTTCATCATAAAAGGCTGTTATATTTTGTCAAATGCTTCCTTTTGCATCTGTCGAGATATATGATTTTTATCTTTCATTGTATTAATGTGATGTTTTACACTTATTGATATGCATATGTTAACCATCTTTGCATAAATCCCACTTGGTCTTGGTGTATAATCTCCCCCCCCCCAACTTCCAGTATCATTTATCTTTCCTAGAATCTAGATACAATTAACTGTAGCAGGACAGTACTCAATACTATTTAAGCTGCATTTTAAGTTCTTTAAACTAGCTCATCATTTGTAAACATGAATTCACATTTTAGTAAAAATGGAAACTAGAATTTGACATAACAAATTTACTCAATATTGATGTTAACTACAAATTTTTATGTGAAACACATGGACTTAATATACCAGAATTTGGCCTTTATAAGCTAGCTTACACATAAACAGTTTCTTTATCTGTCCTAACCTGTGTAGTGCTGCACCAGAGCTCCTCCTACAGCTTTTACTGTGTAAACAGATTACTCCCCTTAGGACAAAGTGGGGAAAAAAGTTCCCACATAGAAAAAACCCTAACAGATTTATCCAATTCTCAATCATCAGCAAATACAACACCAGCAATAGATAATGGGCTACTCTTAAGTCTTTTAACCTTAATAATGTAAAAGAAAGTTACTGTTGACCGAAAGAACACACAGGTTTCTTATTAAACTGTTTTAATGGGTCTCAATATGTGACAGGTTTTGTTGGGTCATTTCCATTAAAAAGTACTGATTTTAAAAACTAATAACTTAAAAACTGCCACCCACAGAAAAAAGCTACATGGTCCCCAATCTCCTTTCCTTCTGATGGTTTTACAATGCATTTAATCAGTAACCCGTCCTTTATTACTTACTACTAAACTCAAGTGGCCAATTGAAACAAACAGTTCTGAGACCATTCCTCCACCACTGATTAAGACTGGGGTGCCAGGTGTTGGGGATAATACTATTTAGCCTTCTGGCTTTCTGGGCAGACCTGGTGACTTTGCCAGCTCCAGCTGCCTTCTTGTTCACTGCTTGGATGACACCAACAGCAACTGTCTGTCTCATCTCACAAACAAAGCAACCCAGAGGGGGATGGTCAGAGAAGCTCTCAACACACATGGACTCACCAGGAACCATATCAATTGGTTCCTGGCAGCATCACCAGGTTTTAAAAACTAAGGCCGTCTTCCAGCTTGTTTCCAGATGATCAGTCTTCTTCAGCTCAACAAATTTGTAAGCAATATGAGCTGTGTGACCCTTTTTATTTGTTCATGAATTCAGTTTGCTAGTATTTTGTTGAGAATTTTTCTATCCATTAGGGAAATTGATTTATGGTTTTCTTAGTATCCTTACTGGCTTTGGTATTAGGACAGTGCTGCCCTCAAAGAATAAGTTTGAAAATATTCCCCCTTCCTCAAAGTTGTGGAAGAGTTTGAGAAGGATGGGTCTTAACTTTTTTTGAGTGTTTGGTAGACTTTGCCAGTAAAGCCATGCCTCCTGGAGTTTTCAGCGTTGGGAGGTTTTAGATTGCTGATTCAGTCTTTTTGCCCATCTGTAGTCTGTTCAGATACTCCATTTTTTGGATTCAGTATTGCTAGGTTATGTTTCTAGAAATTTATCCACCTCTTCTAGGTTATCTAATAGTTGGCTTATGATTTTTCATAGTACTGTAGTCTCTTATGGTCCTATGTGTTAGTACCAGTTGTTTGTTTTCATTTCTAATTTTGAGTCGTCTTTTTTCCTTAGACTGGCTAAAGATTCAACATTTTTAACTTTTTAACGTATTGGCTTTCAGCTTCATTGATTCTTTGAATTTTTTTCTGACCTCTACTGCATTCATTCCACTCTGATCTTTATTATTTCCTTCCTTTTGCTAACTTTGAGGTTGTTATTCTTTTTTCTAGTTCCTTCTTTGAGATCTAATTTCTTAGTATGTATCACTTTTAAGAACTGCTCTTGCAGAATCACCTTATTTGTTACATTATTGTGTTATTCTCCACTTACATTTTTCATGGAGATCCAGTGAGATCCCCTCTGGTATTATTGAGATATATAGGAAGTGTTTGTTCCTCAACTAAATACTTCCAGTTTTGTTGTGTTGTTGGTGCCTTGGCTGTTGTGGCTCAGTTGGTTGGAGCATTGTCCTGTACACCAAAAAGGTTGTGGATTTGATTCCCCCTCTGGGCACATCTAGGTTGTGGGTTTGATCCCTGGTCTGGGCACATACTGGAGGCAACTAACTGATGTTCTCACACCGATGTTTCTCTCTCCCTTCCTCCCTCTCTAAAAGCAATGGGAAAATGCCCTAGGGTAAGTTTTTTTTTTTTTAAAAAAATGTGGTGTTAGTTAGTAAGCAAGGGTAGCAAGGGTAGTTTCTTCTTGCAAACTTTGTGTGGTCACTTCTTATTTTACTTAGTGTGCCTGCTTATAATGGCTTTTTAAATTTTTAATTCTCAACTCTGGCTTATTGAACATCCAAGGTTGTTGAAGCTTTTATTAGTTTACCCATAATTCTGAGACTCTGAATAAAAGTTTACAGATGCTGATATATATTTATGGAAGTCAGATTATGAAGATTTGTGGCACCTGTTTTCTTTACCTGTCACTTACACATTACTCATTAGAGGTAAGCTATTAGAAGTATGTATATTATTCTTTTTTCCTTACGATTTGTACTTCACGGTGATTTCACAAGAGGTGTGCTATTACTGGCTTCCCTGCCAGACTTTTCTTTTCTCTTTTTTGAAGTAATAGGGATGTAATCACATTTATTGAGGTATAATTTTCACACATTGTAAGTTTACAGTTTGATGAGGTTTGACAAATGTATACAGTTGTATAACCATGACTCCCATCACAATAAAGTCCCATCGTCCCAGAAAGCATCCTTATACTTCTTTGCAGCCAGTTTCCCCCTTGCCCCTTGCTCCAGGCCATCACCGACTCAATTGATTTCTAACACCACAGATTCGTTTTGCCTCTTCTTCATATAAATAGAATGATATGCTAGGTAATCTTTTGTGTCTGGCTTTTCCTCAACATCTGCCAATAATGTTTCATGTATTGGCAGTTGTTTCATTTGTATTGATAAGTAGTATTGCACTGTGGATATACCATATTTTTCCCATTCATCCTTTGAATTCATTCTCTTTAAGGTACTAGGAACATACATACAAGAGTCTTTTTGTGATCGTATTTTGCTTCTCTTACAGGGGTGTCAAATTCATTTTCACCAGGGGCCGTATCAGCTTCAAGGTTGCCTTCAAAGGGCTGAATATAATTTTAAGAGTGTATAAACGTAACTACTCCTTGACAGTTAAGCTGGGCACTGCCTCTGGGTGGAAACAAGGTGCTGGTAGGATAAAACAAGGTGAAGAGCCGGACTCAGCCCTCGGGCCTTGTGTTAGCCACCTGTTCTTTAGCAAATACTTAGAAGTGGAATTTTGAAGTCATACAGTAAGTATATGTTTAATTGTATAAGAAACTGCCAAACTGTTTTCCGAAGTGGTTAAACCATTTTACATTTCTTCCAGCAATGTCTGAGAGCAAGTTCCTTGCTATACTTCACTTTAGGGAATTTTCAGTTAACCTTACATACAACTGGAGTTTTTTGTTTTATTTTATTAGATTAACACTTTGGGAATAAAGTTACACATTTTTTTTAAAGAGCCAAAAAAACTTTTCCAATTAATAAGGTGGAACTCTAAAGTCAAAACATGAAGATGGATTTTTATCCCCCGACTTCCAGACTTTTCATGAATAGTGCCACTGGCTGAGACCTCACTACACCACATCCGTCAGTGTCCCTGCTGCTGCCTGAATTGTAAAGGCTGCAATGGAAATGTGTTTCTTTACTTCTCTCCAGGCCGAATGTGGGTCTGCTTTATTTTCAATGTCGAACATAGCATCATAGATCCCGGGAAATGATTCTCCAGCATATTTGTTGTGCCTACTTGGAGCAAAAATGATGTGTCTATTGGGGGAAAAAAAAAAGACAGGTTGAGCTAAGAGTCTACATATATCTTATATGCCTTTGTTTAAACTCATTCCCTTTAGTTAGAGCACATCTTATTAAGTATTCTTTGTCTTAGCATTCACTTTTGTTACTCCAAAATGACATATATAATCGATTTCAGATACTTATGTTAACAGTATAATTTTAAGCAAAGAAAGGAACTCACAATTTGCATTTGCTAAGACATGTCTCATGAATCATCATATTGCCAAGCTGTACAGTTGGAAGGTTACTGGGTTCTCTTAAGTTGTGTATGTAAGTTATCTAACTGTCTGGACATCCACAGAGGAGACAACACAGTGTACACCCAATATATAATATTGCATAACCACCACACATAAATTTTAATAAAGCAGGAAGTTAGCTAAAAGAGATAATCTGATAATGGACAATGTTTAACCAATTCAAATACCCTTTCATGACTGATAGACCCCAAAACTATCCTAGCCTCATACAGTTCAAACTCTGGTCTAGTTCTCAAGGTTTCAACTGTATCATGAAAACACATCACCTTCACAGTGAACATTTCTGAAATTCGAGAGGTATCAAGAACTATAGCAGACTGTGGTGTAGGCTACATTTACACTAGAATCTTTTTTTCCTCAACTTTCCCCTCAGGACATAATGAAAATGATTTTGTATTTTCATAATGCTTTGCAGCTTTTAAAGACTTCTTTATACATATTTTCACTTCTGTTTACAAGAAAAGTATGCTTTATTTAATACTCTACAAAGTGTGTTAGTTTTCTATTGTTCTTGTAACAATTTACCACAATTTTATTGTCCTATAGTTCTGTAAGTTAGGAACTGACTGGCTCTCACTGGGCTGGAATCAAGTATCAGCAGGGCTGTATTTTGCTGAAGTTTTAAAGGAGAATCCACTTCCTTATAGTTTCCCAGCTTCTACAGACCTCCTGCAATCTCCCATCTGCAAAACCAGCAACAGCAAGTCACAGTAAGTCCTCTTCACATGGCGTCATCTAACTTGCTGTTCTTCCTTTCTCACTTTTAAGGACTCTTGTGGTTGCATGATTGTGCCTACCTTGATAATCTGGGTAAACTTTCTGGGCATAAGATCACCTGATGAGCAACCTGAATTCTATCTGCTACCTTAATTCCTCTTTGTTGTTACCAAACATGTTCATGTTCTGGGTATTATGAAATAGACATCTTTGGGGGACACCCTTATTTTGCAGAGCAATTAATGTATGGAAATTTCCTTAGAGAAAAAGTGGTAAAAGGAGTATTAAAATGTGTAAAATGTGCTCAGTGAAGGAGAATGAAGGAAATATTACTTACGGGAATCGTTATGATAGTTTCAATGTATTATGCACAATTCAGATAAGTTTGCAGAAATTAATTTCAGGCATGCTTTTTATAACACATTTATGCCTCTGAATTTTAAGGTGAATGGTTTAAATATATTCCACAGTAAAAACATTTTATTTAAAATATTTATAAATTTTCCTGGTTCAGTTACCACTAATCTCAACACTGATTTTATGATTATATATATATATATATACACACACACACACACACATATATATATATATACATACAGACACATATATATGCCTGTAGGATATGTATATGTACACATTGGATTACTCAACTTTTAATCCAATATTTATCAGTGCTAAATGATAGAAGAATTTTACTGTACTATAAATCTGGTAATAATACTTTATTATTTCTTGAAGTTTGTGAAATAACAGACCTTGAAAATAGCATTGATCCAGTACATATGCTGAAAGTTTTTGATCTAACATTTTAAAAAAATATATAGGCTTGTTTTGATTTGATCTATGTTGTTAGATGTTGAAAAAAAAAAACAAAATGAATTTTTATTTAACCAAATGAAAAATTCTGCCTATTTGGCATTTTTCAAAGGAGTTACTGGGAAAAGTGGGAGTACGTCATACATATTTAATTAATAATTCTTCTAATCAGAAAGAAAAAATTGTTTTCATACCACTGCAGACAGAAACGTAAAAATAGCAATGTAAACTGTTATTTTTAAGTTACTTTTTTATTATTGAGGTATAACTGAAATACAACATCATTAGTTTCAGGTATACATCATAATGATTCAATATCTGTGTATATTACCTAATGATCACCACACAAAGTCCAGTTAACACCTGTCACCATGTGCAGTTACACAATTTTTTTCTTGTAATGAGGACTTTGAGGACTTTAAAGATTGACTGTCTTGGCAACTTTCAAACAGGCAATACAGTAGCGCCGACTGCAGTCACCATGCTGTACATTATATAGGGAATATAAGGCACGGGCTTGTAACTTTTGATCACCTTCACCCATTTCAGGGCACCCCACCCCATGCCTCTGACAACCACCAGTCTGTTCTCTACATCTGTAAACTCGTTTTTTGTTTTGTTTTTGAATTCCATATACGAGTGAGATCATATGGTATTGTCTCTGATGGATTTTATTTAGCATAAGGCCCTCAGTGTCCATCCATGTTGTTGCAAATGGCAAGATTTCATTCTTTTCATGTCTCGATAATATTCCATTGTGTGTATCTATATCTTTATCTGTATCTATACATATAGAGATCTAATTTTCTTTATCCACTGACAGACACAGGTTGTTTCCATATTTTGGCTATTGTAAATAATGCTGCAATTGCATAGGGGTAATGTAATCTGTTTTAATTGGTGATGTTTGCTTCAAATCAGTACCTAGAAGTGGAATTGCTGGGTAGTTATATTTTTAATTTTTTAAGATGCCGTCATACTCTGTTGTTCCTTAGTGGCTTCACGAATTTACAGTTCCACCAACAGCATACCAAGGTCCCCTTTTTTCCCATATCCTCTCTAACACTTGTCATTTGTCTTTCAGTTTTGATACCATTTTCCTAATAATTAGAGAGGAAACGAGGAAGGGATGGAAGGAGGGAGACAGTGTACGGGGGGAGAGAGGGGGAAACATCGACCAGTTGCCTCCTGTACTTGCCCCGCCTGGCAATCAAACCTGCAGCCTTTTGTTGTACAGGATGTTGTTCCAACCAAGTAAACCCCTGACCAGAGTGATGTTTTTAATCAGATTATTCTGTAGTTGTTGAGTTTTATAAGTTCTCTAAATATTTGGGGTATTGACCCTTTAATCAAAGTATCATTAAGAAATATCTTCTCCCATTTGTTGGTTACCTTTTTGTTTTGTTGACACTTTGCTGTGCAGAAGCCTGTTAGTTGGGTGTACTTCCATTTGTTGAGTTTTGCTTTTGTTTCCTTTGTTAGTGGAATCAAATTCACAAAAAAACATTGCAGACTTATGTCCAGAAGCTGAGCACCTATATTTTTCCTGTATATTTTGTTTTCAGGCCTTACATTCAATCTTTAATCCATTTTGAGTTAATTTTTTCTGTATGGCATAAGAGGATAGTGTTCTAGTTTCGTTCTTTTGCATGTGGTCATCCAGTTTTTCCAAAACCAATTATTGAAGATCCTTTCTCCACTGTATATTCTGGTACCTTTGTCATAAATTATTTCTGCACATACATGAGGGTTTTTTCTGGATCTCATTTTCATTCCATTGTTTTGGGGGTTTTTTGTCTGTTTTCTGCCAGTGCCATATTGTTTTGATTGCTATACCATTGTAGTCTAGTTTGCTGTCGGAATGACACATCTGTCTTTGTTCTTTTCTCTCAGGATTGCTTTAGCTATTCGGGGTCTTTTTGTGGTACCATACAACTTTAGCATTTTTTGTTTTATCTCTCCGAAAAGTGCCATTGAGATTTTGATAAAGATTGTATTGATTTTATAAATTGCTTTAGGTAGTGTGGATGTTTTAACAATGTTAAATTCTTTCAGTCCATGAGTATGAGCTCCTTCTGTTTCTTTTTGTCATCTTTAGTTTCATTCAACAATGTTTTATAGCTATAAAACAGTGTTCAGGTATTTTACTTCCTCTGTTAAATTTATTCCTGGCATTTTATTGCAATTATAGAGTTGTTTTCTTCATTTAGCTGTCTGATAGCTATTGTTAATATATGGAAACACAATAGTTTGTGTATATTGATTTTTTTTACCCTGCAAATGTTACTGAATTTATTTATTAGTTCTAACAGGTTTTGGTAGAGTCTTTAGGGTTTCCTATTATATTTTGAACAAAAGTGGTTAGAGTGTGGCCATCCTTGTCTTATTCCTGAAAAGCTCAGTGTTCAATACCATTCAGTATTATGGTAGCAGGCTTGTCATATATGGCCTTTATTATGTTGAGGTACGTTCCTTCCATACTCACTTTGTTGAGAGTTTTTTTAATGATAAATGGATGTTGAATTTTGCTAAATGCTTTTTCTGCATTGACTGAGATAGGATTTTTATCTTTCATTTTGTTGATACGGTCTACACATTGATTTGCATATGGTGAGCCATCTTTGCATACCTGGAATAAATCCCACTTGATCATGATTATAACCTGCTAATATTTGGATGAGGATTTTTGTGCCTAAGTTTATTAGAATGTGGTCCTGTAATTTTGTTATCTTCTGGTGTCCATATCTGGTTTAGGTGTCAGGGTATCCTTAGACTACTCACAAAATGAGCTAGAAATTTCTTCCTCATTGTCTACATTGTGAAAGAGTTTCAGAAGACTGGTATGCTTTGAATTTGTCTCAAAGTATATTTTTATTTGTCTTTTGATTTCTACATTGACCTATTAGTTCAGTAGCACGTTTTTTAATCTCCCCATACTTGAATTTTCCAGTTTTCCCTTGTAATTGATTTCTATTTCATACTATTCTGGTTGGGAAACGTGCTTGATATGATTTCAGTCTTCTTAAATCTGTTAAACTTGTTTTGTAGCCTAATATATGAGCTAGCCTCAAGAATGTTTTATGTGTACTTGAGAAAAATGTGTTTTCCGTTGCTTTTGGGTAAAATATTTTATATCTATCTAATAAGTCCATCTGGCCTATTGTATCATTTAAGGCTAATGTTTTCCTACTGAATTTGTCTAGATGATCGACCCATTCCTGTAACTATGGTCTTGAAGTCCCCCAGTATTATAGTAATGCTGTCTATTTCTCCACTTAGCTCTGTTAACATCGGATTTATATAGTTAGGTGTTCCTATATTGAGTGCACATGTATTTGTGGTTGTTATATCTTCTTGAGGTATTGATTCTTTTATCATTATATAATGACCTTCTTTGTCTCTTATTTTTAGCTTGAAGTCTGCCTTGTCTCATATAAGTGTAGCTACTCTGTTTTCTATGGTATATCTTTTTCCATCCCCTCAATTTCAGCCTATGGGTGTCCTTACTTCTGAAGTGAGTCTCTTATAGGCAGTATATACATGGTTAAATGCATTTAAAATTTCATACTAAATTCTTAACACTGATCTTCTCTGAAGAAAATAACAGAGATATTTGCATGTGGATTATAAGAGGATCCTGAAGGAGTACAGTACCTTTTTATTCTGTTTGCTTCTACAGAATCTGAATTTATTGAGAGATTTTTGCTTATAAATAAAAAATACATATCTAAAGATAGACTAATACCAGGCAAGAGAGGATTAAAACGATACATTGTAAACACTTAACTGATAGTTATTCCGCTAGTGTCAAATATTTATGTGCATATTATTTATGATTTTATAAAATTATCAGCCATTTACTGGGTGTATCTCTCCCTAAACTAAATCTTCTGCATACCTTAAATCAATAAGCTATGGGGTGAAAGCAGTTATAATCTCCAGTTACATCTGGGCAACTTGAGGCTTAAAGAAATAATCTACCCAGTTTAAACTTAGTATGGGACAGAGCAAGGCTGAAAGTCCTGTGTTTATAATTAAATTTTAATGCCAATCCCTAATATTTATAAGAAAGGCAACATATAGAACTATCTTAAATGCAATTTACTTGATGATAAACAGCCTTGTAAAATAGCAGTTTTGAGCATCTTAATTCAGATGAAAACACTCTGGAAGTGACTTGTTCTGAATTACACATGTGTAAGTGAACTAGAACACAAATTGTTCTGATTGTAAATGATAGGACCTTTCTCATTTCTACCAAGGAAGCACAGTTTAAGAGATACCTTGAGAGATACTGGAGACTACCCAAAAGAATGCTGCCAAGAAACCATGACCTGGAGGTCTAGATAGAAAAGGAGGCTGTTCCTCTAGGGCAAACATGAGCACCATCTTCAAAAACATAAAATGTTAAGTGGAAATAGATCTAGATTGACTCTATTGATTTTGGACAGCAAAAGGAAAAATTACAGGAAACAGATTTTTATGAAGAAAATTTTTTGCATTACTAAATGGAACTAAATTACTAAAATGGAATGGACTTCCTTAAGAGGTAGTAAGCGTCCCATCACTGGAAGATTCAAACAGAGGCTGGATAACTACATACAGGCGTACCTTGGAGATACTGTCGGTTCAGTTCCAGACCACTGCAGTTAAAGCGAGGTTTGCCATAAAGAGAGCTTCACAATCTTTTTGTTGGTGGAGGGTTTTGCCTTCAATTTGTAAAAAAGGCAATATGTGTAAAGCTCACTAATAGTGAGCTTTGCCTATATCTGAAATCCTTTAGAAAAGATTTATGTAGAAAATACAATCACATGAGCTGTGAGATCCCTTTTGAGAATCTATGACTTTGAGATTTTTGTTACAATAACAACTGTCATTTACAATAACAACTGTCATTTATAATTTACATCTGCAACAAAGCAGTACACAGTAAGAAATTAATTTTCTGACATAAAAAATTATACTGTTATGCATAAACTTATTCATCTTCCTCTCAGTATACATATTTACCTTTCGCTCATCGATGGCAGTTGTTTAAAACACACCTTGCGTATGCTACTTTTGGTCATAGTGAGGTTTGTGGTGTCCTTAAGTGGAATACCTGTTGCTTCCTTACCTGTAGAACTTCCTTCCTGGTAGGCCAAGGGGATCAATGAATGCTCTTTCCAGGAGCATCAGTTGGTCATTCATGATTCTCACTGCAATGGGACTTTGAGAACAAGAAACATATAATTATAACTCTTACCATGGATCTGTATTTTAAAATAATATTGAATAAGCATAAGGCTGATGTTCCCAGTTTGCAGACCATAATTTGAGTAGCAGTGATTTAGGGTTCGATGCTTACAAGTATAACCAGATTGCTTTTTAAAACAGTAGGGCTTCACATTTGAAACTTAACTGCATTTGAAACTTACTTATTAACATCAACTTCTACAAGTCTTCTATGGAAATCAGAAGCAGCCTCTGAAAAGTTTTTCACAGCAGAAAATAAAGAATCTTTCAAAAATAGAAAAGCAGAAGGGAAATGAGTAAACACAAGTGCTTCATATTTCTGCCCTCCCATTCCAAGTTGATATGACTAATACTGAAACCATTTTTCTACTGAGCCTTCTTGCAGAACCATGGAAATTGTTTTTAAAATATTGTAATGTATCAAATACAAAATGGCTAAATTGATTCTTAAGAAAATAACTTTCAAGAGTTTAGGATATACAGCCCTGGTTGGTGTGGCTCAGTGCACTGAGCACTGGCCTGCAAACCAAAGGGTCACCAGTTCCATTCCCAGTCAGGGCACATGCCTGGGTGGCAGGCCAGGTTCCCCAGCAGAGGACGCATAAGAGTCAACCACACATTGATGTTTCTCTCAGAAGAAATTTTAAATTTCAAATGAAGCATAGAAATAAAGATAGATAAGAACTGAAATGTATCTCTGGGATTTTGTGACATGAAAGTGTAGATTTGCATCCATCCATTTGTCATTCTTTCATTCCTTCATTAAAACATTTGAGGGACTGCTTTTTTTCTGGCAGTAAATGAAAAATTTTGATCGTGAAGGAATTAGGGCACATTAGGAGAACTCTTTTTTAAGACAGAAAAGACATAAGAATGTTTAATGTTGATGGAGTGTCACCAAGATAAATGGAGAGTTTGGAAATAGGAGAGAGGCATTAAGGTAAACAGGCAGGTAAATCGATTAACCTTGTATAAAGAGTCCTTCACTGTAACTGTGTGCTTTCTCTCTGAACTAGACCCTGACTTACACAAATTGATAAAATTGCAATTCACCAAAAGGAAAGCGGGGCATTTAGAAAGAGAACTGGATGCCGGAGAGCCATGGAACTATGACTGTCAATCTGCTGCAGGCCCTGCTGTGTCCATTTGTTTTGCTTCTCCATTTTCCTTATCATATCAATCTAAACACAATTTTCTGATTCTTTGCTTCATTTTATTTCTAGATCTTAGTGCCTGCTGCTTATAACTTTCTGAAGATTACTAATTCTTATGTAATCATATTCAAGTACCATTACTGACTTCTTTGTGCTCCTCTAGTACTTACTCTGAGTGTATCTTTATAACAACTTGCATTTTGTCATCTTCTTCCCACATGGGACCTGAAATTCTCTGAGGACACTGACTATCTTAAACATCCTTATATGTTTCAGGAAATAAAACAGTACTTGGTATACAATAGACATTCAGTATGTATTTGATATTTATGGTATATACTAAGAATATATACTCTTAGCATAATAAAATGGTTGCAACAAAACTGATAACAGGTAACAGTTATGAGCACTAAGTGTCAGTCACCATTGTTCCTATGTGTCAACCAACTGAATCTTCACAGCAATCTTGGAAACATCTATTCTTTTTACCATTTCGCTCATAAAACAACTGACACGTAGAGGGGTTAAGTAACCTTCCCAAGTTCACACAGTGAATAAATATTAGAGGCAGGACTGGAACCAGACCCAATGCTCAATGCAAGTACACTACACAGTCGTTCATCCACGTTTTGTAGAATAATAACCACAAAATGGCCAACTGTGCAAGGAAAGCTATGTAAAAAACTGGAGCCCTGGCTGGTGTATCTCAATGGATTGAGCGCGGGCCTGTGAACCAGAGTATCGAGGTTCGATTCCCAGTCAGGGCACATGCCTGGGTTGCAGGCCAGTTCCCAGCAGGGAACTGGTTGCATGAGAGGCAACCATACATTGATATTCTCTCCCTCTCTCCTTCCCTTCCCCTCTAAAGATAAATAAATAAAATCTAAAAAAAAAAAATTGTAAAAACACTGCCACGTAAAAAACATTGAGAGATACATAGTAATAATAATTATTATGTAGTAGAATTGGTGATGTTCTTTACTTTCCAATATTTGTGTTATAGTGTATTGCATTTTTATAGTATTCTTACAACAGTAAAAATATTTTAAAGGCAGAAATAAAGGGGAAATGCAACATTTGTAGCATTAAGTAGAATGGATTCATCTTACAAATACCAAATTAAACTACGGTGTTCAATTGGTGTTAAAAGTTTTTTTCTAGAAGTCAGCACTAATAAGTGAGGCAGGGATAAACTAGAATGAAATAGTATGTATTGATGATGAGGGGAAATAGGTTAAACCTCTAACTTAAAGATTATAAAATACCTGCTCAGTCATTTCTTACCAAATGATACTCCATGATCTTTCAGTGGTTGGTCATGTTTCTTGGATAAGTTGTAGATACTTGTTGCATAGTTTTCCAAAGCTTTTGCATAGTCTTGAATATTGAAAGGAATGATTTGAGAGTCTGCAAGCTCATAAACCAGTGCCCCTCGTAACTGAGCCACAGAAAGCTGTTTTTTAAATGTGGGGTCATAAAAATTTTCTACCAATTCAAACGTCTCATAAATTGTATGGTATAATGGGTAGCTGCTGTATTTATCTGTTTTCTAAAGAAAAGGTGGGGGTGGGGGGAAAACCAAGGGCAGACAAACATTACATATTTGAATTACAATATTTTATGTAATCACAAAATGATTACAGAAAAAATACAACCATTTGGAACCTTAAGTTTTATCACATAAAGAAAAAAATGTAAAATCAAATTAACTAAAACACTACCACCAAATGTTCAGTGATTTAAAATTTTACCTTTCATTTTATAATTCATGTAATCTTTCAAAATATTGCTTCTTGAAAATTCTCATTGTGTCTCTAATAATTAAAATTGAGTTCATACTCCAGTTGCAAAGCAGCACAATTTAAAATTATCTGTCATTTGGCTGGGAATGAAAGGTTCCGGGAAGCTAGGTGTCTATATAGCTGAAGGATTATATATTTAAGCACCTTCCCCGTCTCCCTAAACAGTGCATAAGCAAATGCCATTTAACTGGTATTATAACATTAAATACTACCATTATAAAAACATAAATTATCACATTCTGGTTTCCTACAGAAATGTTTCTGGACTTTTCCCTGGCTAATGTGGCTCAGTGGATTGAGCGCAGGCCTGAGAACTGAAAGGTTGCTGGTTCAATCCCCAGTCAGGGCACATGTCTGGGCTGCAAGCCAGGTTCCCCACTGGGGGTGCTCAAGAGACAGCAGATGGATGTATCTCAAACACTGATGCTCCCTCTCTTCCTCCCCTTCCCCTCTCTCTAAAAAATAAATAAATAAATTCTTTTAAAAATATATTTTTTTACTTCTTAGGTCTGTCTTTAGTTTTTACCTATTTTTACATTGCTGTTCTCACTGCTTTTATTATCACCAAAAGGAATTCTCTTATTAGTTTCACTCCTTCTGTCTAGTATTATTTTTGAACTACATTCTTAGAAACTAGGTAACTTCAGAAGGGTGACAGAGTATAAAAGTAAACAGGCATTGGAAGAGGTAATGTGCATTATTTTTGTAGTAAGTATGATGAGTATTAGTATACAAAAATATGCATTTATTTTGGGTTATTCTAGAGCTGTTTTTGTTTGGTTCTGAGTCGTATTCAGCTGGTCAGGTTTGCAAAGGCTATGTACACATATTCTAAACAAGCAAGATATTGGTATTTTGCAATGATTTGATCATTATTGGGTTGGCTAAAAAGTCTATGTTTTTGTTTTCCATAAAAGACACATTTTTCCTCTTCAGCAATAATTTCATCAATCTGGATATTTGAGTATGTAGGCTATCTCCTGAATGGTACAACAGTGACTGTCCTCAATTAATGTCTTGATTTAATTGCTACAACTTCAACTGGTCTATCTGAATGTGGAGCCTCGTCCAGCAGGAAACCTCCAGCATGAAACTTCACAAGCCACTTTTGACAGGTTTGATCAGTCACAGCACCTTCTCCATATACTGCACAAATTGTTTTTTGCATTTCAGTTATTTTTATCTTTCTGGAAACAGTATAGCATAACATGCCAAAAATGTTTCGTACTTTTTTCCATCATCATTATTAACATGGCTACACAAAAATTCAGCCATTTTGGTGTTTTTTTTTTTAAATGCACACTGATATGACGGCTGTCACAGTACAATCTAACAAAGTTGTTTCAAACAAAGTTCAAGACCATTAAGCACTACTAGAGCCATCTTACAGAAAAAACCAAAGAAACTTTTTGGCCAACCCAGTATGAAAATCTATGAGAAATCTCACTTTAGTTTGTGACATTTATAACATAGGCAAATAAATGTGGTATCTGTTGGCGTATCCAAGTACTTAACAATAAAGAATTTTAGCCTAGCATTCCCGTAACCAAGACATGTTCTCCACCTTCATGTTTTCTCCAGGAAAAGTACATTGAAGCAGATCAGACTAGGAGAATGAGATTTCCCAACAAAGCCTGTGTCAGGAAAAGGATGTGAACTACTTGATTCTGATTCCAGCTCAACTTCTGACATTACTCTGTCAACTACCGCTTCACTGAATAACGCTGGCAGTGGAAAGTCACAAGAGAACCCAAATTACTATTTGGTCCATCTACAAAGGGATGTGCAGTCTGTCCCTGTCCCTGAAATGTCCACCTGTGCCTGTACCAAACAACTAGAGGATAGAATTCTTAACCAAAGGAATGTGGATGGAAGTACCATGTATCCCCAAAAATAAAGTGGCTTACCCTATTCTTAGTGTAACGGGCTCTGCCTGAAGCAATTCCAAGTCTCTGAAAATAAGCTTCAAAATCACTTCCAGATCCCAGCTTGTTGATTCTAGATGTAGAATGTAAATGAACACATACATACATGCACACACAAACAAGCATAAATAAATAATATGAAGTTAAATGGGACAATGAATCCTGTCCTAAGAATTGCAAGGGAGTTCATGGCACATTTATAGCAATTAGGAAGACATACCACCCCCAAGAGACTTTGGTGTTGTCTGCTGGATATTGGTGTGATAAACCTGTAAATCTATAGTGTGACTGCAGCCAGTTTGGCAGTGCCACCAAAAATGGCAGCCTCATGACTATGCTGTCTCCCATATTTTCTGGGTTTGTGGTATTTAGAGGGAAACACAAATAAGGTATGGTACCTGCCCTTAGAGAATTATGGTCTAGTAATATTGCCATGAGAAAGTCTATGCTTAAGACTATGAAGAATTTAAATGTGCCTTATTACAGAAATCTAATTATAATATATTTTTGCATATAATTAAAGACCACTATATATATAAATAAATGACATGAAAAATTTTTCATAATATAATGGTAAGTCAGTAAAGCAGAACATAAAGTTACATATGCATGAAGAACCATGACTATATACTTCTAAACATTTTTTTTTTAGATTGAAGCCTTGGATGTTTTTAAAATCTATAATCAATTCAGGAAAGCTACTGTTAGGTGAATGACATGAACTAAAAAAAATAATACTTAAAATCCAAATTGACTGACAGGCAATGACACAATTTGGTGGTTATTGATAGTGCCCATTAATAACTTGAGAAACAATCCATCGTTTGTTACTTCATCATCATCTGAAGTTTATATTATTAATGAATTAGTACATATCTGAATAAAATTTTATGCAAGAATGCAAAGTAATGCCTAATAATGTGGCAAAATAATTTTGACTACAATTTTGTAAAACTAGATCTCTATTGTGGGTTAACTGTTGTGCTTGTTCCCAGATCAGCACATCAAAGGCTGTACACAGGGACCCTTCAGGATTATCTCTGGTTGATGAGGCACCTGGGAACTGCATGCCTGGGGAGACACGGGGTAAAGGGGACTTCAGTTTATCCTGTGGTAGAAAATACACAATCGAGTAATTTACCTAGGGAAGCTTTTATTTTCAGATGAAGGGTCCTTTGCCAACCAGCTTTCATAAAGAGATTTACTCTCAAAACCATCATCTGGGCTGGAGATCTGGAAAGATAAATCAAATATTGGCAATTACAGGCAGAAGCAGCTAAATTTATGCCAACATAAAACCATGTTAGTTGATACCAATTTCTAACTATATATATGCTGATGTAGGAAAATATGCTTTTCTGCACTGGCTGGTGTGGTTCAGAGGACTGAGTGCTGAGTGCAAATTGGCAGGAGCCAAGTAGAGTAGAACATAAAGTTACATATGCATGTAACTGTTCTGGTTCAATTCCCTGTCAGGGCACATGTCTGGGTTGCAGGCCAGGTCCCAAGTAGGGGGCACCGAAAGGCAACCACACATTGATCTTTCTCTCCTTTTCTTTATCCTTCCCTTCCCCTCTCTAAAAATAAAATCAAAAGAAGGGATGGAGGGAAAGACATGCTTTTATAAGTAGGAAGGAAAAACTAGCCCAAATTTATGCTGGTTTATGATGCCTGCCTACTGGTAATTTGCAGGATACTAAGGATAAAATTTCCTGCTTATTTTAATAAATTAAAAAATGCACCTACGGCAGACCCTACTTATGCAATTTGGAAAGCATTATATAACCTCTAGTGTGTTGCTTTAAACCCTAGTTTTCTCACCTGTGGAAGTGGGGAGAGTAGAACTCATCTCAACCTAAACATCATCTCCTCTGGTATCTTCTCTGGCCTTTATACAGAGTAGGTTATCTGCTCATCATCACGGAAGGGGTCTTTGGGTACAGTCACAGCACTCCACTGTGAGCATGTTGGCCTCCCTTCCCTGCTAGCATGTTGCAGCTGCAGGGATGTTTTGCTCATTTCCTGCCAGGTGACTGGGTTCTACTCTACTTGGCTCCTGCCAGTTTGCAATAGCTGAGATCCTGCTTCAGTTCCTACATTCTGCTTGGATAAAATTCCCTACAAAATTCTCTTCATTTTCCGGAATCATGCCATCTCAGTCTAGCACGAACCAAAACTGTGTCCCTTTGTCCCGGACATCCTAGATCAGACTTTTCTGTCTCAGCTATACGCACTGTCAAAATTGCTGCCCCTCCTCCACTGTATCAACACCTGGTCCCATTTCTTGCTTGTATCAGGCAGCTGCCCTTCTTTCAGCTCGACTCTCTCTACTACCTCATTCTACCCTCCTCTCACCAGCATAATGTGACTGTGCCCACATATATTAGGGGCTGATAAAGTTGTAATCATCAGTTTACAGGAGAATAAGGGTCCTTTTTCTACTGAGTTTTGGTACGGCCATACATAGGCATCTGGCTTTGTACAAAGCTAAGCTTCCCCCTTATTGGCCCTGAATTTTTTTATTACCTTTGGTCTCACCAGCAGAAGCCAGCTCTGTAGGACCCAAAGCATAAATGCATATTCTTAGGGTTCTGCCAACACAGATTTTCTTTTTAGATACAGCTTGCTTTTAAGATAAGATGTTTTTATGGGATGTTCCAATGAAAGGATCAAAAGCTATGCAGTGTTATGAGAAAGTTGTGATGGGCATAATGGAGGACTCTCTTGGCAGAACTAGTTTTTAAAGACACTAACAGCAAAACGGAAAGGGCAAGATTAAGGGAAATTGGGAAATAGCACCTACACAAAGTGTTACCTATACTTCACGCTGCCATCTAAGTGATACCTACCTACCTGTCAGAAACATTTCTATAATTAAATTTTATAACATGGAACTATTTAAAGTAGCACACAGTAAATTAATAGATTATGTAATTTTTAGAGACTCAGTATGTTAGTTTTCAGAGTACTCTTTTTATCAACTAGTATGTATAATATTTCTGTGTGATAAACATGTGACATTATTTTCATTCTGCTTTTAGGCCTGTTATGGCTTAACTTATTCTCTACACTGATACAGAATGATTTTTCTAATGAACAAATATGATAATGTACAACCTTGTTAAACATTCATTAGTTTCTCCATCATTAGATTTCTGAACTCCTTGGCCTATCTGTCATACCCCATCTTTCCACACATACTTAGTGCATAGGTCATACTGAGCTACGTCCAGGTCAGGAAGTATTTCCTTTCATACCTCCACATCTTTTTTGGGAATTGTGTCCTCTGCTTAGAATGCCTTCTCCCTTATTTTCACATCCTTCCATTGCACAGCCCCAGCATTAATTACTCTGTAAGCACCCTCTGATGCTTCCCAACTTCCCCAGCCACCCCAGGATTTTAGGTTCGGTATTCCATAATTGTTCTCCATTGTATATAGTATCTAATATTCCAGTGAACTATAATTCCTCATCTACAGGTCTGTATCCTCTCTGGATTACAAAGTATTTAGATTCAGTAACCTTGTCATTTTTCATTGTTGCTGCTATAATTTATTTTATAGCGCCTGATAACTAGTACCCACTCAATACCTGTTGAAGGAACAGATAGATGCATAGCCAAAGCAATCTTTGAACCAAGGCTTTTCCATTCCAGCTCAGTATTCTTTCTGTTATATCAAGATGCCCCTTCCAGATGAAATTATATACTCTATACATTACAACGATGTGTACAATAAGAACTATTATTAGAACAGAGAGACTAGCAATATTATCTCAATTGTAATGTCATATAAATCGTGTATTAGTGATTTTTGTTCTGACTTGTCACCAGTTCAAAAATAAGTAGCACTAATTAAGAACAATGACTGTTTACTTATCCATTCATTAGAAAACATAAGACAAACCTACTTATATACCTCTTTTGTCAGTTTATACACCAATTGGTAAAGAAGGGGTGTACAGTCAACTCTGAGAGTATAATTGCCTGAAAAATAAATAAAAACATGTATTTTCATACTTTCAAATGAAATTCCAATCTATATTTAATTCTAACTTTATTTTCTAATTATAAATAATATATAATAGACTTAAACCAAAGGCATCACTCCCAGGAAATGAAAACAGGGTAGAAATAGTTCTTCAGAAGCAAGAGAGGCTGCAGAGCACACACTGCACAGAAGGGACAGGTGGACTTTGGCTGCTGAGGCAGCAGCCCCCACAGTAATCGTACAGGTCATTCCCAACACAGTGTCTCTGAGGGGGAGTCTGGCAAAGAAAATACTAAGGCTGCACCTTTCATTCCTTATTCATTCTGTTAATGGTATATAGCAAGACAACAGACTAGAGCATGTCAGTGGTTAGTGAGTATGCACTGACATTTATCTAGACATAATCACAATACACCGAAAGCCGAGGACAAAAATATCACATGTCAGGTTCAACAGAAAGCCTCTAGTTTGTGCTTACTTAAAATCTGTTCCAATACAGAAAGTAATTCTCTATGAAAAATTCTGTAAAGTCTTTCTTTGGAAATATTTTAAACAAATTCTTTTAATCCATCCATAAGAAGAATGTGGTTAATACTGGAGTTTTAAATAGGAATCCAAGATAGGCAAATGGTAAATACTCCTTAAAAAATAGGACCAATAGTAGTTTAGCTATGAATCAAATTTACCTTCTATTGATGAATCTGAGTTGATGTAAGCAACGCTTCTCTCCTGAAGCGTTTTTGCATTCTCCTATATTTGAAGCAAAGTTGTTACTTAATTCATAGTATTTGTGATTGTGAAAATAAAAACAAAAGAAGCCAGTTAATTTAGTATAAAAGTGGCCTGCAACTACTTTATGAATCAAATACCTATGTCTTCAACTGTAATTTTTGGAAAATGCTGCTAACTGATTGGCTGACAACATTAGTGGAATGAAATAAAAAAGAAAAAAATATTATGATGCTGTACTTTGTTTACAACAAGAGTAGGGAGCCTCAGAGAAAAAATATTTCCAAAGTGTAGTTCCTTGATTCCCTGAACCAACATATGAAGGGGCAAGGCTCCCAGACTCTGAGTCCCACCCCAGATCTACTGAATAGGAATTGCTGAAAGGCAAGGATTCTGGACAAGGTGGAGGTGTAGGCAAATACACTTTGCTTCCTTGCACAACCAAAAGAATACCAACCAATTTAAAAACAAAAACAATCAGAACTGCCAGAAAATTGAATCAGAAGTCCTGATTTTTCAGGAAGTCCAACAACCAAGAAGTTAAAGAGAAACTTTCATCCACACTGGTAGAAGGTAGAAATAGGCAGCTGAGGAGGAGAAGATACACAGTAAGGTGGCTGTTGGCAGACCAGGCAGACATTTGAGTGTAGAAAAACAGGAAGAAAAAACTAGGGACTGAGACAGGCCACACAACCCAGGGTTCCAGGGGAGGAAAATAAAGCCTCAAAACCTCTAACTGCAAGAGAGAAATTGCCATTCTCATTATAGAATCCACTGGAGGGGGCCATGAGGTCCCAGAACATACATAAGCCCATCTACCCAGGAATCAGCATCAGAGGGGTGCAATTTGCTTGTGGGTAACAGGGGAAGTGACTGAGGGCTATTGAGAGCCGAGCAAGTGAGCATTGTTCTCTCTCTGCCCCTTCCCCACATACAGTGCCACAAACAGTAAAGTGGGTTGCCCCGCCCTGGCAAATACCAAAGGTTCCACCCCTTACAACATAACAGGTATGCCAAAACAAAGAAAGATGGCCTAAATGAAGAACAGATCAAAACTTCAGAAAAAGAACTAAGCAATAAGGAGATGGACAATCTACCAGATGCAGAGCTCAAAACACTGGTATCACAGAAATGACTGAGTACAGTCAAAAAATAAAGGAGGAACTGAAGGCTATACAAAGTGAAAAAAAGATAATATAAAGGAAACCAACAGTGAAAAGAAGGAAACAGACTCAAATCAAAGGTTTAGAAAGAACAAAATGAGATAAACACTGAACTATAACAAAATGAGGAAACAAGAATTCAGAAAAAAATGTGGAGAGGCTTAGGAACCTCTGGGACAACTTTAAATATTCCATCACCGGACTCATAGAGGTGACAGAAGAAGAAGAGGAAGAGCAAGAAATCAAAAACTTATTTGAAAAAAATAATGAAAGAAAATTTTCCCAATCTGGCAACAGAAATAGACATACAAGTCCAGGAAGTTCAGAGTCCCAAAGAAGTTGGACCTGAAAAGGAACACACCAAGACAGAGCATAATTACATTACCCAAGCTTAGAAATAAGGAGAGAATCTTAAAAGCAGCAAGAGAAAAGGAGATTGTAGCCTACAAAGGAGTTCGCATCAGACTGTCAGCTGATTTATCAAAAGAAACCTTACAGGCAAGAAGGGGCTGGAAAGAAGTTTTCAAAGTCATTAAAGGCAAGGACCTACATATAAGATTACTGTATCCAGCAAAGCTATAATTTAGAATGGAAGTGCAGATAAAGTGCTTCCCAGATAAGGTCAAGTTAAAGAAGTTCATCGTCACCAAGCCTTTATTATATGAAATGTTAAAAGGACTTATTTAGAAAAAAGAAAAAGATAAAAACTATGAACATTAAAATGACAACGAACTCACAACTATCAACAATTGAATGTAAAAAACAAAAACAAATACAAATACAAACTAAGCAAACAACTAGAACAGGAACAGAATCACAGAAATGGAGATCACATGGAGGGTTTTCAGTGGGGAAGGAAGAGGGAGAATAGAGGAAAAGGTAAAGGAAATAAGAAGCATAACTTGTAGGTACAAAATAGACAGGGGAAGGTTAAGAATAGTATAGGAAATGGAGAAGCCAAAGAACTTACATGTACGACCCATGCACATGAACTAAAGTGTGGGGGATCCTGGAGGCAAGGGCGTACAGGGTGGAAGGGGATAAAATGGAGAAAAAATTGGGAAAACTGTAATAGCATAATCAATTAAGTATACTTTTAAAATAAGAAAAATAGCTGTGGCTATTGTAGGTCAGTGGATTGAGCACCTGCCTGCGAATCAAAGGGTTGCTGGTTCCATTCCCAGTCAGGGCGCATGCCTGGATTGCAGGCCAGGTCCCCAGTAGGGGCACACTAGAGGCAACTACACATTAATGTTTCTCTCTCTGCCTCCCTTCTCCTCTCTAAAAAAATAAATATAATCTTAAAAAAATAATAAAAAGAAAAAGAATAATAAAAAGTATAAAATAGTAAAAAAAAAAAAAAGAATTGTTGAAAGGCCTGGAAATTTTTAATTTCTAAAATGTGTCCCTGGAAATCCATGCAGGCATTGAAGTTTTGAGATCCACTGATACTGGATATCCAAATAACTGTAGCATTTTAAAAGTGAAAAATATAGAACAAGAAAAAAGAAAAAAAATTAAAACACAAATGTGAAAAATAGAAAATTTCATTTTTTAATTAGAAGATATGATGAAAAACAAAAAATGAGAGGACAGTAAAAATAGAAAGAAGGAAAGACATTAGGACAAATACAAGACTGACTGACTCCTTTATACTCACACACGGTATAAGGTAGAAAAGGGTTAATGTTACACGCAGATGGAAATACGCCAAGAGCACCCTTTAACTCTGTCTTTCTAGTTTACTGCCTTACTAAGAGCATGTTATAAGGTCCTTTGCCCATTTTTAAATTGGATTATCTTCCTGGTGTGGGGTTGTGTGAGTTCTTTATATAATTTGGAGATCAAACTCTTGTCCAAGGTATCATTGGCAAATACATTTTCCCATATGGATATTTCCCTTTTGATTTTTATGACATTTTCTTTAGCCATGCAGAAGCTTTTTAATTTGATGAAATTGTATTTGTTTATTCTTTCCTTTGTGTCCCTTGCTCTAGGGGACACACCTGTAAAAATACTGCTGCATAGAATATCTGAAATTTTTCTGCCTATTTTCTCCTCTAGGACTTTTATGGTGTTGCAACGTATATTTAAGTCTTTTATTCATCTTGAATTTATTTTTGTGTATGGCGTAAGTTGGTGGTCAAGTTTTATTTTTTTACTTGTAGCTGTCCAGATCACCCAACACTATTTGTTGAAGAGGCTACTTTTACTCCATTTTATGCTCCTGCCCCCTTTGTTGAATATTATTTGCCTATACAGACATGAGTTTATTTCTGAGCCCTCTATTCTGTTCCATTGATCTATACCTCTGTTCAAAAGAACCTATGCACTCCAATGTTCATAGCAGCACAATTTACAATAGCCAAGTGCTGGAAGCAACCTAAATGCCCATGAGTAAACGAGTGGATCAAAAAACTGTGGTACGTTTACACGATGAAATTCTACACAGCAAAAAGAAAAAAGGAGCTCCTACCCTTTGCGACAGCATGGATGGAACTAGAGAGCATCTTGCTAAGTGAAATAAGCCAGCTGGTAAAAGACAAATATCATATGATCTCACCTGTAAGTGGAACCTAATCAACAAAACAAACAAGCAAGCAAAATAGAATCAGAGACGTGGAAATACAGAACAGACTGACAGTGACCAGAGGGGAGAAGGGAAAGGGATAATGGGAGAAAAAAGGGGAAGAGTTGTCAAGGAACATGTATAAAGGACCCATGGACAAGGGGGAGAGGAGGATTGAATGTAGGAGGTGGGGTTGGAGAGGGCAGGGGGACAGTAATAGGGAGAAAATGAGGACAACTGTAATTAAACAACAATAATAAAGAACATGTTACAATAAAAAAAATACATTAAAACTGAGAGGTTATGCCACAAATGAGGACCGCCACTTCTCTGCTCTTGCCCACACAGGCCAGATGGTAATTGCCTCTGTTATAGAAAAATATTAAGTCAGGGCTTCCATTGTAAAAGATTTACATTATAAATAAGGAAGATTCCTTAAATATTTAATGGGAGTATGCTGTCAAATATGATAAAAAATCTGATAGAAAACTAGAAAGTCATGAAATTGTCTTTTAACCCACATGTATTTAATGCAAAGCATATTATTTTATATCTTAGATTTTTAATCTTTATTTTAAGCTGCTAAAATTATAGAAACAGAGACATGAATTCATATATACTTGTATTCACATTAAATTACATTATTTCTAAAAGTAAATGAACTCAATGAATGAGATTTCATTCGTCTGGTCTACTTCCAAAATGCATGTTTATAATACCAATGTGACAACAGAACTTTGCAATATAAATGGAATGAAAAGGATAAGTGATTGCACTGGCCAGAGTGGCTCAACTGGTTGGGTATCATCCAGCAAACCAAAAGGTTGATGGTTCAATTCCTCATCAGGGCACCTGCCTGGGCTGAGGGTTTGGTCCCCGGTCAGGGCATGTACAGAAGGCAACCTGTCCACGTTTCTCTTTCACATTGGTGTTTCTCTCCGCCTTCTGCCCTCCCTTCCCCACTGTCTAAAATTAAAAATAAAAAATAAAAAAAAAGAAGATAAGTGATTGACAGGCAACTACATGTGTGATTTTACTTACCCCCATACTGGTTTGATTCCTATTGTTTTAAAGTAAAATAAGAGAAAATGATTCAGATGGAAAGCATTATAAGAACCACAGCCAATGTCAAGAAATGTGTGACATGTTTGAAACTCCTTTATAAAGACTGGACTTACGAAAACAATATGGACTTACAGAGGATGGTGGTGGGAGAGTAAGTGCTTATATAGTACACCTCCCTTTATAAGAATTATGAGCTTACCTTGTACATTTAAGAATTTAAGGGTTACTCGACAGAGGGGCTAAGAGAAAAAGATGAAAGAAGGTGGCCTGGGAGAGACACTTAAGGATAAAGCATTAAGAGGTAGTCACAAATGAAAGTCAGTCATATCTGAAGAAAAAAATCTCAGAAATTCTAAAGGCAAACAGCTAAAGTAAGTCTGTTTACAAAATTCTCATATACTCAATAATCAGGCACTTTTGTGAATTGTGAAATACAGGCTCTGGCAGAAATAACGCCACTGAGTATGGCTGGCAGGGTACGTGTATGTCTTGCACGAGGTGGACAGCAATTTGAACATGAGGCCTAAAATGGCATATAGGGCCTGGCTGGTGTAGCTCAGTGGATTGAGCACAGGCTGCAAACCAAAGGGTTGCTGATTTGATTCCCAGTCAGGGCACAGGCCTGGGTTGCAGGCCAGGTCCCCAGTAGGGGACTTGTGAGAGGCAACCAACCATTGATGTTTCCCCCTCTCTCTTTCTCCTTTCCTTCCCCTCTCTCTAAAAATAAATAAATAAAATAAAGTAATAAAAAATGTTATATGGTGTGCATGAATACATATTGTCATGTTACAGAATTACATGCTTATGATTTTGTAAAAAAATTTATGTAATAAAAAGGGGTATCATTTTTGCCAGACCCTGTATACGTATGGTTGCAATTTTATGTGAAATTCACAAATGTGAAATTATAATGAAAGACATTTTAATAGAACATCTTATGTTTTCTTAGATAGAAGAATTCCAAGGAAACTAAGACCTTGAAAATGAACTCCAGGGATCTGTGAGTTTTCAGATAAGTCAATTCACTTGTCAGAAACAGTCTTGGCTATTTTCTGAATGTATAGATTTTAAGAAGTTATTCTGTCTTCCCAAACTAATGTGAAAGTAAAAGCAAACTCAAGTTCTTAAATTCTTGAGTCTTCATTAAAACCATATTAGGTAATGGAATATATTTGTGAACATCCTGAGATATACATATTTGTTCCCAGTTGACTAAGAAAATAATTTTCTTTGTCTTACTTACCTCAGCCCATTCTGTGGAACCCAGAAGTCCAAATTCTTCTGCATCCCAGCTAGCAAAAATGATAGTTCTTCTAGGTCTCCAGCCTGTAATCATTGTTAACATGCATAGTTAGGTACACCTGCCTAAAAATAAAAGAAAATTAGTGAGTCAGTTTTTGTTATTACCCACCAAAGAAACATGATTTACCTTGGCTCATCAGTTTCCCAAAACTCTGAGCAATTTCTTGTAAAACAGCGGTCCCAGTGGTTGGGTCAATGCCTCCAAACACCCAGGAGTCCCGATGGCCCCCCAGGATAACATACCGGTCTGGAAGAGAAGGCGTTCAAAAGAGCTACAACTTGGAGCACACTGGAAATATTGTAACTTAGGTTTTCTTCAAGTAAAACTTCCTCTTGCTCGAGTTCCCTCCATAGGGGGAAAAAAATCAACACTATAAGGTAAAGTTTTCTTTCAGAGTAGTGCTTTTCTGTTTCAAATTTAGTTGTTTTATGTCACCATAAAAAATCAACTGTTGAGTACAATTATCTTATTCTTTCAATGTTTGTAAAAACAAAAGTGTTTTAAATATTCTATGACTCACCAGGTTCCACAGATCCTCGGATAGTTCCAATTACATTATAAATCCTTGTAATTTTATTGGTGTTATAAACATGCATTTTAACTTTCCTAGAATTTACAAGGGAAGAAATTACTTCATATACAGATTATGTCTAACAGCTTTCTTTCAGCATTTAATTATGAAAAATCTCAAGAGCACAAAAAACTCTAACATAGGTTAATGAATTCTTATGTATATACCACCTAAATTATTGTTAATATTGTTGGAATATTTGCAAGTTGCAGACATCATGATATTTTACTTCTAAGCACTTAAGCATGTAGTTGAAGTGAAAAAATTTAAAATTGTTAATATTTTAGCTGGGAGAATGAGGGGAAAGGTACAGAGAATAAGAAGCATAATCGGTAGGTACAAAATAGACAGGGGAAGGTTAAGAATAGTATAGGAAACAGAGAAGCTGAAGAACTTACATGTATGACCCATGGACATGAACTAAGGGGTGCGGGGGAAGGCTGGAGGGAGGGAAGGTACAGGGTGGAGAAGGATAAAAAGGATAAAAAAAGCGAGACAACAGTAATAGCATAATCAATAAAATACACTTAACAAAAAAAATAAAAAGTTTTATTTCTCTGATTTATCAGTGTTATATTGTCTTTTCTCTCCACCTTTCAGGCAAATCATGCTACATTGTTTCACAACTCTGTTCAAGCTGATCTCTCTAGCTGGCATTTCCTGCTTGCCCTCATCCAGTGGAAAATTTACCCTTTCTGTAAAATTAAGCTCAATAAACAAGCAGGCTGTTATCACTCCTCCTCTACAACAGTGCTCTAATGCGTTAATAACAATTAAGTGTATTGAGCCCTGCAATAGTTACATGCTTGCTCATGTGACTCACTTAACCCACCCACACAGTCAAATGTTTAGTAAAGGCATCCTGTCTCTCTTTCACTCCTTTCCCTTACCTTAGCCTAGTGATTCACACGCATTCTGAAAGTGTTATGAAAACAGTTCTAAAACTTTAACTGAAACGTGTTAAAATACTGAATCTATAAATTCAAAGTCTCAATTTTTGAGACTTTATGAATTAAATGTTGTAATATCACTACTGGAAGAAATTGCATATGTTATTCTAAAAATACTTCAGTGATATAAAATGATCACTTACTCGTTATTAAAAATGGGAAAACAGCCCTGGTTGGTGAGGCTCAGTAGATTGAGCACCGGCCTACGAACCAAAGGGTCACTGGTTTAATTCCTAGTCAGGTCACATGCCTGGGTTGCCAGCCAGGTCCCCAGTAGAGGTACTTGAGAGACAACCACACACTGATGTCTCTCTCCCTCTCTTTCTCCCTCCCTTCCCTTCTCTAAAAATAAACAAATAAAGTCTTCTAAAAAATAAAATAAAAATGGGAAAACGAAGATAAGTGAAATCTACCTGGTAGAACAGTTACCCTGACATTTTTCCATTAAACATATCAAACTTCTGCAGGCTGTTAAAGGTAGTTACCTGAAGGAGCCTTGCCCTGTGAAGCCAGGCCCAATGTTGTAATCCACAGCAAGACTTCCCTTCCAGCTGTCATCTGGTGAAGCTGTGCCTCCCAGATGGCTGAAAATGACACAAAAAAAAAAAAAAAAAAGGCAGAACATCACAATTTCTTAGAAATATTCACCAAGTGTGATGGTGAGATATTTCATTCATACATTTAACAAACACTTACTGAGCATTTACTAAGTACTGTCAAAATCCACTTCCCTTAGGGAGCTTGCTTTCTAACCAGAGAGCCGTAACAGATACACAAGCAAACTATTCAATGTGTTAGTGATGAGAGTTAAGGAGAAAAAAAATAGTGAGGAGAAAAGGAAAGCTTCAGCCCCCTGACTTTTGACTTTATTTATTTATGTAGGCATGCATTAGGTCCAATAAATCCTGCAAGTATGAAACCCATGACTGTGCTAAGGAGAAACTAACTTCTACTAAAGCTACACATTACACAGTAGGCATTCCTAAAGCAGTTATTAAGCTGCAATGATACAGACATTTTTAAAAATATATAAATTAGATTTGAAAGGGATTTCCAATTACAGAATGCATATAATAGCAAACATTAATTGAATGTTTACCACATTTAAAAACATTACATGCATGATCTTGTCTACTTCTTATAAATCCTATTGGGAACAAACTATTTCTGTCCTCATTTTACAGATAAAGAAGCTGAATCATAGAAAGATTGTGTGAATAGCCCAAGTCCACACATCTAATGAGTGGTGGGCTTTATCATATTTTTAAAATGCAGGTCAAGTACAAAATTAAAATAATAAAATAAAGAAAATTAAATAAAACAGGTCAAGCACAAATACCAAATGAATATCTAAGGAAATACAATTACTTGAAAAAGTCTCAAATAAACATTTTTATCTTCGGACATAGTTTCACTTTTGAGACTTTCATTTGTAGCAAAAAGAGTAATGTTTTCTTAGGGTTTAAACTGACCGTGCATCTATAGGGGGATAAAGGTATGCTTTGTTTTTCTTACTTCAGGAGCTAGTTTGACCCAAGACTTTTAACATAATTAGGTTACATTGGTTCTAGAAAAAACAATGAACACATTGGTGCAAAATATCTTAATCTCATATCCAACAAGAACACAATACCGTAATAATACTTCTGCATCATTATAGCCGATGGGGTGCACAGGGATCTGGGGCATTCCCACTCCTTCTTTAACATCAGGTCGAAAGGTGTATTCTGCAGAAATCAATTGCATAAAGTGAAAACAATTAAACGCTGGAACCAGGGGTAGAGAAAAAAGATTTTTTTACAATTCTTACAGATTTGTAATACATTTGACATTATATTCAAAGTTAATGAATAAAATGTCAAAATACAAGTTCCCCCCAAATTAATGATTGTTTTACTAATATGGTCTATTTAATTCAACAGTAAGATATTAAATCATTTACATTCTAATTTAAAATCAATTATAGGTACTGTAGATTCCCAAACTTTCTTTTTTAAGATTTTAATTTATTTATCTTTAAAGGGGAAGGGAAGGAGAGAAGGAGAGAAATATCAATGTATGGTTGCCTCTCATGTGTCCCCTGCTGGGAACTGGTCCGCAACCCAGGCATGTGCCCTGACTGATACTTTGGTTTGCAAGCCTGAACTCAATCCACTGAGCTAAGCCAGCCAGGGCCCAAACTTGCTTTGACATTCACATAATTCTCTTAAATTTTTCTAGAACATTTCATTTTGCCTTGGCTGGATTACTCAGTTGGTTAGAGGGTCATCCCAATATGTCAAGATTGTTGGTTTGATCCCTGGTCAGGACACATACAAGAATTAACAAGTGAATGCATAAATAAGAAAAATAACAAATTGATGTCTCTCCCTCTCTCTCTCAAGTCAATGCATTAAATTTTTTTTAAATAATACTTTAATTTCTCAAGGATATCTTGAATCATTAGAGACGTCTCAGTTTACCAGCTGTCTGGAAAATATGTCTCATATCCCCAAGCTAGAAATAACTGTAAAAAAGTTAAAGGGAATTAAAGAGATCTTAGAAAAAAGTAATAAAGATTTTATTCAAACACAATATGCTCACTAAAGAAAGGTGGAAAAATATTGCCAGGCTTAAAAACCTCCTTAGGACTTTGACTTTCAACCAAAATAGAATCATAGCACTGAAACACCTATTTTAGAAAAAAGGAAGGTTTCAAACAAATGGCTGCAGATTTTACCTTAAGAAGCTAGAAAACAAAGATAAATGAAGAAAAGTAAGAGAGAGGACATAAAAAAGACCAGGGAACAAACGTAAGACATAGGAAACAGAAAAAGGATAGAAATTATCAGTAAAACTAAAAAATGGTCCTTCAGAAGATCAATAAATCTCTAGCAACACAGATCAGGGAACAAAGAAAATAAAGAATATATATCATTAATATCAAGAATAAAGAGAATATCACTCCAGTACCTGCAAACAAAAAAATAACAAGAGAATATTATTAACAAATCTATGCCCATAAATTCAGTAACTTAGATAAAATGGAAAAACTCTTTGAAAGACACAAACTATCAAAGCTCACTCAAGAATAAAGAGCTAACCTGAACAGCCATATATCTCTTAATGAAATTGAATATGTAGTTAAAAGCATTCCCACAAATAAACCTTAATGACTGGATGGATCTGGTGGGGAATTCTACCAAACATTCATAGACAAAATCAAACCCATTCTTAAAAACTCTTGCATAGCCTTGGCTGGTGTGGGTCAGTGGATTGAGCACTTGGACTGCAAAACCAAAGGGTCACTGGTTCGATTTCCCAGCGGGGAAGATGCTCCAATTGCAGGCCTGGCCCCCAGTTGGTGACATGCAACAGGCAACCAATAGATGCATCTCTCACACATTGATGTTGCTCTTGCTCTCTTTCTCCCTCCCTCCCTGCCTCTCTAGAAATAAGTAAAATTTTTTAAAAAACCACAAAAATCTCTTGCATAAAAAAATAAAGATGAGGGACCGTCACCAACTCATCCCATGAGGTCAGCATCATGGATACCAACATGACAGATATTAGCCCTGAGTGTGCTCAGTGGACTGAGCACCAACCTGCGAACTGCTGACCTGCAAACTAAAGGGTCCCCAGTTGGATTCCCAGTCAGGACACATGCCTGGGTCACAGACAAGGTCCTAAGTTGGGGGTGCGTGACAGGCAACCACACACTGAGGTTTCTCTCCCTCTCTTTCTCCCTCCCTTCCTCCCTTTCTTCCCCTCCTTCTAAAAATAAATAAACTCTTAAAAAAAACCAAAATGACAGATATTACAAGAAAACAAATCTATAAGCTGATATCCCTAAAGACTAATATTTTACCAAATTTTAGCACAAATTCAACAATATACTAATGATATATAAAAGGATAATATATTGTGACCAAGTAGAGTTTACCCCAGGATAAAAAGGTTGGTTCAAAAATCAATCAGTGTAACTTAACAAAAGTATATAACAACTTTATTTCAATAGATGCAGTAAAAAGTATTTGACAAAAATCCAATATATATTTCTAGATACATGTGTTAAGACAAAAGCTCATCTCATTACCATTGAAGTGAACTTCCTCAATCTGACAAAAAAGAATCTATAAAAAACATACACATAATATCATATTTAACAGAGAAAGACTTCTCTTTGGGGCAGCAACAAGGCAAGAATATCTACTCTAACAAAAATATATACTCTAACAATGTTTCAACAAATTTTGGGAAGTACTAGCCAGTGCAAAAGGCAATAAAAAATAAATAAAAGGCAACCAGATTGGGGGAAAAATGTTTTCATTTGCAGGTGACACAATTTTCTATGTACAAAATCCTAGAAGATGGAATCCTCTGATGCAATCTACAAAATCCTAGAAGTACTAATTAGTGAGTTTAACAAGTTTGCAGGATAGAATATCAATATATTTCTTCTAGAAATACAATAATATTTCTATTTACTAGCAATATAGTTGGAAACAAATTTAAAATGTTAATTTAAGAGGATGGAGGAACTGAGCAAAAAGGAAAAAGGACTCATGGACATGGACAAAGTGTGGTGATTGCTGGGGGCAGGGGAGTATACAGGGACTAAATGGTAATGAAAAAAAAACTATACAAATTAAAAAATAGATTAAAAAAAGAAAATGTAATTTAAGAGAGCATAAAATATTAAATGATTATAGATAAATCTGAAAATAGGTATACATGATCTGTACAGTGAAACTATAAATATGCTGAGAGAAATCAAAAACTGAAAAAGAATTGCAACTTGGAGAGCCCAAATTTCTATTAGAATATAGTGTCAAAAAGATTTACCATACTAAGTGTTGGTAAGGATGTAGCAATTGGAACACTCATACACTGCTCCTGGAATGTGAAATGGTACAACCATTTTAGAAAACCATTTTAAAATTTCTTAAAAAAATTAAACATACCTGGGTCATATTACCCAGCCACTCCATTTCTATGTACTTACTAAAGAGAAATGAAAGCCTGCATACAAAGAGATTTGTATACAACTCCTCAGGCAGCTTTATGTATAATAGCCCCCAAACTGAAAACAATCCACATTTTCATCAAGTAAATGAATAAAAAAATTAGTATATCTATTCCATGGAATACTGCCCAGCAAAAATGGAATGTATAGACACATATCAATATGGATAGACCTCAAAATAACGCTGCCGACAGGAAGCAGATCCCTGTGGTTTTCCATGGATTAGCAGGGAGGGAACAGGAAGGGGTCAGAGGGAGCCATTACAAAGAGATGAGAGGAAACTTTTGAGTCATGAATAAGTTCATTATCTTGACTGTAGAGATAGTTACATAGTTGTCAAAATTTTCACACTTTAGATATTAAATAGCACACACACAAAAACTCACTGGTATTTTTAAAAGAAAAAATATGATCTAGAGAAGGATAAAATCACTAGGCATTTAGAAACCTTATGTTCTACCTTCTGATCAAAATGGAGGTGTAGAGGGACAATGGAGGTGTAGGAGGTGTAGGAATGAAGCTTTGCCTCATTACACAACCAGAAGAAGGAACACAAGTCATTGAAAACAGAAAAACACCCAGAACTGCCATAAAACTACCCAAAACTGTATGGAAGTCCAAGAGCCATGGATTTAAAGAAGTTATATTCGTCCAGATGGGTAGGAGGATGGCGACAGGGGTGGCAATAGACAGGTGGCAAGGTGGTGGTGGCCAGTGGAAACAGTAGCCCTGCATTCACATGTGTTGGATAAATCTCAGGGAGACACCTTGGGAGCCAGCAAGCCCAGCCCTAGGCCAGGCCACGCAGCCCAGGTCTCCAGCACCAGGAAAAAGAATGCCCTATAACTTCTGGTTGGAAACCCAGTGAGGGGGACGGAGGGGGAGGAAGAAACTGCCAGTTTCTCAAGAGAGCCTGGAACATGTGCAAACCCACCCACTCTGGGAACCACAACTAGGGCAGCAGCTGGAGGGACAGCAGTCTCACATGGGAAGTGGATGAAGTGACTTGAAATGGGGTGAGGGCCAGACAAGTCCCCAGAAGTCAGCCAGCAGTGGCACTGTCCCTTCTTGTACCCCTCCTCCACATACACAGAGCCATGATTACCCCACTCTGACAAATACCCAAGGCTTCACCCCATATGACTTAACAGGTATACTAAAAGGTAATCAAAGTGGCTCTACCTAGCACACAGACACAGGGAGGCTGACAAAATCAGGAGACAAAGAAATATGGCCTAATGAAGGAAAAGAACAGAATGCCAGAAAAAGAACTAAGCAACTCGGAAACAGCCAACCTATCAAATGCAGAATTCAAAACACTGGTGGTCAGAATGCTCAAAGACCTCATTGAATACAGCAAAAGCATAAGGGAAGAAGTGAAGGCTCTACTATGGGAAATAAAGAAAAATCCACAGGAAAGCAACAGTGAAGGGAAGGAAGACAGGACTCAAATCAAAGATTTGGAACATAAGGAAGAAATAAACATTCAATCAGAACAAAATGAAGAAATGAGAATTCAAAAACATGGGGAGAGTTTAAGAAGACACTGGGACAACTCCATAAATGCCAACATCCAAATCATATGGATGCCAGAAGAAGAGGGTGAGCAAGAAATTGAAAACTTACTTGCAAAAATAATGAAGGAAATGTCCCTAATTTGGCAATAGACAAGTCCAGGAAGCAAGTCCAGGAAGCACAGAGAATCCCAAACAAGTTGGATCCAAACAGGTTCACACCAAGTCACATCATAATTAAAATGCCAAAAGTTAAAGATAAAGAGAGAATCTTAAAAGCTGCAAGAGAAAAAAAGCTATTTACCTACAAGGGAGTTCCCATCAGACTGTCAGCTGATTTCTCAAAAGAAAACTTGAAGGCAAGAAGAGACTGGCAAGAAGTATTCAAACAGATGAAAAGCAAGGACTTACAACCAAGATTACTCTATCCAGCAAAGTTATCATTTAGAATTGAAGGAGAGCTAAAGTGCTTCCTAGACAAGGTAAAGCTAAAAGAGTTCATCATCACCAAGCCCTTATTATACGAAATGTTAACAAGACATATTTAGAAAAAAGAAGATCAAAACTACGAACATTAAAATGGCAACAAACCCACAACTATCAACAACTGAATCTAAAAAACAAAAACAAATACAAATATAAACTAAGCAAACAACTAGAGCAGGAATAAAATTATATATATGGAGATCATTTGGAGGGTTATCAGCCAGGAGGGGGAAGGGAGAGAACAGGGGAAAAGATACAAGGATTTAGAAATGTAATCTGGTAGGTACAAGATAGACAGAAGGGATGTTATGAACAGAAGGAAATGGAGAAGCCAACTTACCTGCACAATCCATAGACAACTAAATCGGGGATCACAGGAGGGAAGGGGGGAACTGGGGAAATGGGGAAAAATTGAGACAACTGTAATACTATAATCAATGAAATATACTAAAAAAAGAGAAATTTTATATTCTAGTTTGGTAAGGACAATATTACTTTGGATATGAGGATCTTGTTTCTGAATCTCCTCTCTACTAAAGGTAGAAAGAAAATAGAGATCATTCAACTGACTTTTCCTTCTCCATGTCTACACCTAATGAAAAGCCGAAACTAATACAAGGGAAATGTCTTTGAATTCCTAGCAACAGCAATCCCAAATATTATCTTTGCACAGAATTTTAATGTTGTTCTGTGGATGCTTGCTTACTTTTATGCCTTTTATGCAGGCAAGTACTATTTTTGAAAAAAAAAAAAAAGGGTAGACCGTGACAGCATTACCTTTAGCTGGATAGCCTGGAGTGAGGGGGTCGCCAGCACCATTCAAATTTAACACGTTCCCTCTCTGGGCTGCATGTCCTGGAAGGTTCCATCCTTTGGGATATGGCTGCACCCCAGGGGCAGAGTAGTCAGCTGGATCTGAGTACAGAATGATTCCTATGGCTCCCACTGACATGGCATTTTTAACCTGCAGGGGCAGTATGCAATCAATGATGTAGAAATGGCAAATGATTGACTTATTCACCTAAGAGAAAAATCACTTAATAATGTAAGGAAATTTGGACATTGCATTTTACCATGCTGTTACTCATTTTGTTCTCTGCCTTGAATATTTTTTCTCTTCTGGTAGACCTAACAACTCTCATGTATTTTACACAACTCCAAACAAGTTATACTTCTGCGAAACATTCCTAGTGTTCCTAAGTGCAAAATTAATGTCTCCCTTCTTTATACTTGTATATTTTGTACATATTTCTATGTTAGGACAGATAAAAGTATTTTAAAATATCATTTAAATATTTTGCTCCCCTAGGGTTACAATCTAAGGGATTAGTGTTATTATTAGTATTCTTGTTTTATGTATAAGAAAACAATGGCATGGAGGGCGTTTGTGAGAACCCGCACAGTTAATTACTTTTAACAGTCTCCCCTTCAAAATTGGGCATATCATAAACACTGTAAGTATGTGTGGAACTAAATTAATTTAAAATTCTATGCAAAATAGTCATAGTGGGTGAAAAATGGCCCAGTGTTTTTGAAAACATTGTTCTAATAATCCAAATCAACCATGTATAAGAAAATCTACCCTATACATATGGAATTCTTCATTACCAGTATTGTAGTAAAAGATGGATCAGTTTTGATCCACTGAAATATTTTAATATTCAGAAAGCACTCATACATTAGTGAGAGTGCAATCTGTCACAACTTGTTTGAAGGGTAATCAGACACCTGTCAAAATTTTAAAATAATACCCAATATGATTCAGGCATTCAACTTCTAGGAATCTATAGTGCGAAAAAAACCTTTACACAAATGTTGAAGTACATATTGACAAAGATGTTCACAATGGTATTATCTGCAATAGTAATGAATTTAAGACACACTAAGCATCTGCTGAGAGAGTTAAATAAATTATTTATCAATTCTGTGAAACATTATGTAACCATCTAAAATAATGAGATATTTACCTAACCAATAGTTACATAGAAATTACTAAGCACAAGTCACTATCTGATTTGTTTTCGAACTTAAAGCCATTTAATCATCATGAGGATTATAAGAGATAGATGTTATTATTAGTTCCATTCTATTCATGAAGAAACATGCAGGTTAAGCAACTTGCTCACAGTACAAGATCAAGAGAATAGGAGCCCAGATTAGACTAAAACTTAGGTTGCTTGGATCTCGAGTCCTGTACTCTTAAACATGAAACTATACCCACAAGTTATTGCTGAGTGAAAAATGAAGTTATATAGTATATAGTTTCTGATGCCCTCTTTGTTAAAAAATAATACATCTAAAATTATTATGGAGACATACACTTACATTCATATTTCACAGAAATGGGTCTGGAAAGAGCTGTTAAGATCAATTATGATTGGGCAATGAGGGTGGGTAATACAGGAGAGAGTTTTATTATTTTTTAGTTTGCATAATTTTTTTAATTAAATAAAAAAGCAAATATTGCTTTGGTAGTAAAATTATCTAAAATAATTTCCCTCTCTAGGTATGTGAGGTAACATAAAAACAGGATTTCCTGTGCAACCATGAACACATATACATATATCCATATGGTGAAAGCAATTTTGGAAACTGGGATGTAAGATGTTCATTTACATTTACAGGGTATATTTTTTATCTTCTTCCCTCTAGAAAAACAAATAACAGTACTTTATTTCCTCTGAAGATTTTCCCATATCTGGCAATAACAATCTTTCCAGTGCAGTTGATGCCCATTTCTCTTTCTAGTTTGAAAAAATCTTCAGTACGAGCATAGTTTACATATACAAGATCTCCCTGCAGGGAAAACAAAAAAGAAAAACTATACATAACACTGCTCCAGTTAAAGAGAAAACCAACAAATAAGTATGCTTCACAAAACTGCACCATCAAAAGTAATCTTCCCTGGCTTGGGTGACAGAAACAGATGCATGCTCATTCTGTAGAAACAGCCAGAAAATATGCCAATATGCTCACAAGTTTTAAAAATGACAACACATAAAACACTTTAAAGCATGTGTTTTATTTTGCAGAAATGATCAGTGGATAGTGAGTCACAGAAAATAAATAAAAGTCATTTTAAAATGACTTTTTAAAAATTTCCAACCATGGTGTTCATCTTAAAACTATGTTTAATTTCCAACCATGGTGTTCATCTTAAAACTTCTGTAGTGTGATCCATAAAATCACATCCATAAATCTATAATGTAACAAAGTCAGCCAATGAACAAAGGAAAAAGCATGTAAAAACATCCATTGCTTTTACTGAATTAAAGGCATGTTCATCAGTTTGTTTCAAAGAGTAGCATCTGCTCCATCGGGCTCAGGTTTTTATGTATTTTTTTTTCTGGTGTTCTTCTGCTTTTCTTCTTCTTCTTTTTTTTTTAGGAAGTGTGTACATAGTCCTGAATTTCAAAGATAAGCATGTATGACCTTCCTAATCCCCTTAGTTTAGTCCTCCACGTAAGTTTTATACGACAAAAAAAGTTTTAAAGGGTTGAGTACGAAAATATCTTTTATTTTACCTCTGGCATGCCTTGGGCTGAGAAAGCATTATATGGTGGTACAATGTTTGTAATATTCTTATATCCATCTGGTGGTGGCTCAGCATACGATGTCTTAAAAATCTAGCAAGCATTGAAACACACGAAGTTAGAAAGAAATTTTCTAGATTGCTATCAAACAGTAATGCATTTTGCCCTCAAGGATACACTTAAGATAGAACATCCTGAAACTAGATTCTGTGATCAAATAGATAAATTCCACTAGCAACAGTGAGAAAGAGCTTTATCATCGTCATTGTCTTTAAAATAGTAGAAACTTCTGTAAGTGCATGCAATTTCAGTAACTAGAAGTTCCCAGCTGAAGTATAAAAAGAGGGCTTTGAAGGAGGCATTCTCATGAATCTCCTATTCCTTTTGACCTTCGTTGAGGGCCCCTTTTCTTTCCTCTGCATTTAAATAATGTTTCCCTATGTTTCATTCCCAGCACAGTGCTAGCTTCATTTCCTACTCCCTACCTGCCAGATCTTATTGACACTTAAAGTTTTATCCATACCTAATATACCTTTGATGCCCGGCTTTTCGGCCTCATATGTGTAAGGGCCTGATGGGCATTTCAGCTGGCATGTCCAAGCTCAGCCATTGAACTGTGAATTTATCCTCTCTCACCCCAAGCCTGCTTCTGGCTCTGCATTTTCTGTTGTTATTGTTAGCATCACCAGCTAGCCACCCACACAAGAAACCTAGGAATCAAACTGAACTCTGTCCTCACCTCCTTCCTCCAATCACTGATCAACACCTGCTAATACTGCTTCCCAAATATTTCTTAAATCTACCACCCCTCTTCCTCATTCCTGCTAACATCCTCATTCAGGGCTTCATTATTTTTACCTGCACTTTTGTCTTAGACTCCAACCTGAATTCCTTGCCTCATCTTCATTTAGGTCTAATGTGCAGACTGCTCAAACTCTCTAAAATGGCTTGCTAGCCATACCATTCCTTGCTTAGGACTTGTCAGTGGTTTCCATTGACTGAGGTTGAATTCCCCACTGCTTAGGACAATGCACTAGTCAGTCCTTTTATGACCTGTCCCTAAAACATATATAGTTGACCCTTGAAGAACACGGCTTTGAACTGCATGGGTCTACTTATATGCAGATTTTTTTGATAAATACAAATGGTACCACAAATGTATTTTCTGTTGTAATCTTCTCAATAACATTTTCTTTTTTCTATCTTTATTGTAAGAATATGGTATATAATATATATAACATACAAAAGATGTGTTGACTGTTTTTGTTTTCAGTAAGGCTTCCAGTGAACATAGACTATTATTAAAGTTTTGAAGAATCAAAAGTTATACATGGATGGCAATTGGCTATCCTCACCCCATGTGATCCAAGAGTCAACTGTGCACTGATTTATCTCTTATCATGGCTCACTTCCTATTTTACACTCTTGAAATAAAGAAAATCTTTAAATTCCCCTAACAACACTAAACTAGTATATGTCTCCAAGCTTTGTCAATATTTTCTCTTCCACCTAGAATTCTCTTATCTTGCTTTTTCATGGAATAAATGAACCCTTTAGAATCTTTCATGATTCACATATCAACTCTTTCAGGAAGCCTTCTCTGAATTATAGGGCAATGTGAACAAAAAAAAGTTCTATGGAAAGTAATCTCACAGGATGATCTGATCATAAATTCCTCACTGGGGAGATCATGGTGGGTAGTCACACTCTAGTCATATAACTTTTTTCCTTTAAAAAATGTTTATTATTCCATTTAAATACAATGTTCATGTCTACATTTCTCCATAACTGTCTTTTGTAAAAATAGTCATACAAAATTTTAGTTAAAAAGTTTATCTTTGCTTAAAGCAAGCTCTGTCCTTTATTTCTGTGCATCTGGTTAACATACGTTTGAAATTACTACCCTCAAGAGAGAACACAATCTTGTTAATTTTCCTGAATTCAATCTCATGTTTTCTCACACCTCCATGTAATCTTCCTGTGTTCCCTTCTTAATTTCAAATGCATAAAAAGCTGCACCCCATCATATTACTAATTTGGCTCAAATAAACTCTTATAAAAATTCTCTATAGCTTCGGACATTCTTATGTCAATGCTTGGCCAAATGGCCCTTTTTATTGTAGATAAAGAACCCTAATCATACTCTTTATGGCACTTACTGCGTTGATTTGAAATATGTATTCTAATGTCTGCCTCGCCTTATTTAAGCAAAGGAACCATGTCCTAGTCTTCATTCTGGTCTCAGGACCTATCACTGTAACTCACATAGTAAACACTGAATAATTAGTTTGCAACAATAATTTTTCTAGAAAATGAATTCCATTGCACTATGAACGAATTTATTTTCATTTGACCCTGAATTACAATTCACATAAGTAGGTGGAGCTCTAAAGTATGAGAAGTACCAACAATTCTACATCACCTCAATTCCATGTTCATCCATGATTGATATGTAGTTGGCATTTGTCTCATTAGGGTAAGATAAGAGAACATCATAATGAACCAGCTGGGCTGAGTCCAGTCCAAATTTCTTCCACTGGGTTTGGATTTTCTTGGCAAGCAGTAAATTTTGTTCTGTTCCAGCCAGATGAGGAAGCTTTGTGAAAGAACTAAAATGAAATACAAGGGAGAGTTAAAGACTACTATATTCAAATGAGGTGCATAAGAAGTAGTCAAGATGTATTACTCATTCTTTTGGCATTAATTTATCATTTCTATATCAGAGATATAAAGAAACTCACTAGCGTTACCAATTTCTAGTGAGGGGGAGCAAAGTTTGCCACCCCAGACTTTTGGGATATTGATTATTTTAAGCCAGTTATTTTCAAGAAATTAAAATCTCAGAAGAAAGCCTTTGCCTTCCCTCTTACGAACTAAAAGAATTTCGATACAGGACCTGTTCTAGGAAGGGAAGATATCACTATAGATAACTATAGTTTTATATGAACGAAGTGTAACAGACAGGGAGGAATGTAACAAAGCCCATCTAATGTGCCCCATTGTTAAAGAGAGCCCAGAAAACGTACTTAGCAAACATTTGCTTGCTCATCTCCATGTGAATTGCCTTCCTGCCCTTTGAAGTCCCAAAACCACAAATGCCCCATCTTAGTTCGAGATGGACTGTGAGCCTTCACTGTCTGATATGTGCTCAGCCCCATATTCTTATGGAACCCTCATGTATGCATGTGTGTTAAATTTGGTCATTTTTTCCTGTTAATCTGCCTCATGTTAGTTCGATTATTAATCCAGTCAGAAGACCTTGGAAAAGTAGGAGGAAATTTTATGTTTCTGCCCTAACCCAGTTTTTAAATGTTTGTGCATAACCGTAGTTTTCCCATTATGCTCCCCTGGAAAAGAACGCATTCCAAGGTAAATCCATACCATCAGCAGGGGCCCAGGTATGACACCACCCTGGACAAACACCCCTCTAACACCAACGGCATGCCTTCTCGCTGCTCATCAGTAAACGACCGAGGGCACTCTTGGGGAGGGAAAAAAAGTTTGTCAGAAACCAGTTGGGCAGTCTATTTAACATATATGTCTACTGTTGTTTTATTACATTGCACGCAACGTTTTATCTCATAAAAGATAAAGTCCAGCGAGCTCCGGGATGCTTGGGGAACTCACTTCGCCGCTCTTACGCTTCTCTGTCCTCAGGATTCTTATAATGGTTTTTTTTTTTTTTTTTTTTTTTTTTGTCTCTGGCCCTATCCTTTCTTTCTTCCTTTTTTAATAAACATTTTTTAAAATTGTTATTTAAGTTTCTGCCTCCCCCCACCACCCCAGCCTGGCCTTCTCCTTTCTTTTAAAGGGAAAACTTGACTGCTATTTCGTTTTTCCCCTTGGAGGGGAGGATTAACATTTCTGGAACCGGTGCGGCCGGTTTCCCTAGGGCTCTGCGGCTGAGTTTGCCAGCCAGGTGCTAGTCCGACCCTGTGCACCAATGTAGTTCACCAGTAAAGCCCTGCAGCCCCCGCAGCACGCGGAGTCCTTCTTGAATAACGCTCGGAGACCTACACGTGTGCAGGCAGATCCACAGATCCGGGATGCTGACCTGGACACCATGGGGGTGCTGGCGCCCGCACACCACCGCTGTATCCTGGAAGCCCTGCCTGGGTGTGGGAACAAGTCGCTGCTGCCACCGACCTCTACTTCACGCAGGAGCCGCAGCCACAGCCCACGCTGCCCAGACCAGCTGCGATCCCGCTCCCCAATAGCCGCTGGGGGGTGCCATGCGTGGGCTGGGCCAAGAGCACCCACGGGGACCCCTGCAGCCAGACGACTACCCCTCGCAGCAGGGAGCAGGTGAGCTTCCCCAAGCTGAAGCTGAAGACCATGACCAGGGATCAGCTCGTCCGCGACAGCATCCACCTGAGCAAGCCCCTCACTCCCGCAAGGTCCCGATGGTTGGCATTCTGGAGTATTTAACGAGCTGACCGAAGCCATCACACAACCGCTAGGTATCATTTCTGAGAACTCCTGGAGGCCTGATGAGGTGCATGAAGACTGGAAAAGGGCACATCGAGGAACTTCTTTCAAAAGGGGAAATGGATGGTGACCCTGGAAAAACTCATCAGCTTAACTTTTTGATTGGAAAAATTCTGAAATAATCAGTACACTGGGTAACTAACTTACAATAGCTAGAAAGGAGGCAGTGAAATATTACACATTAACAAGTTCTGAGTTCATTTTTAAAGGACACATCATTGTGAGATATCGTCTTATGCATACTTTAGGATTATTCCCTCTATTCTATAAATTCTTGATGAAAATAAATGAGATTGGCTAAGGTTTGGGGGTTTAATGAATTTTAAGTGTAATACCAGACAAACAGCAGGTTTCTGGCATTACCAGTAATTACGTTATTTTTAAATTAACCTTGGGACTTCTGCCAAGATGGAGGCATAGGTGGAGACGCTGTGCTTCCTCACACAACCAAGTTAAGAGACAACTAAATAATAGCAACAGAAAACACAACCAGAACACAGAAAATTGAACTTTTCGGAAGTCTGATAACAACAAATTCTTCAGCCTGACCAGTAAGAGGGGCGAAACCAGCAGCTGGTAAAGCAGGGTTGCACAGGAAAACTCGGTCAGATGGACTCAGGCGCGGAATCCAGGTGCAGGGTTGGACCTGGTGGGCAACTCAGCGAGCAATCGCGGGAAAACAGCGAGGGAGCAGGGCTGCGGTTTGACTGGGGTCGCGCATTCCTGTGTGGAGAGACAAGCGAGGGAGTGGGCCACTGGACGAGAGCCAGCAGCCCCAGCGGCAAGCCGTGCCGCCATTTCCCCGCTCTGACCCCGCCTCCACATACAGGTGGCCCTGCCCTATTGCCCACCCCGTCACAACCCAGCGACCTGGGAGTCCAAGGCTCCGCTCCTCACACTTAAAGGGAGCGAACAGACCAAAAATGGCTCAAGAAGATCTCAAAGCCCCAGAGCCTATAAATCTAAGTGATGAAGAAATACCAAAACTCTCAGACGCACAGTTTAAAACACTGGTCATCAGGATCCTCACAGAACTGGTTGATTATAGCCACAAATTAGACAAACATATGAAGGCGAAACTAATTGAAATGAATGGAATTGCACAGGAAACCAATAGCGATGAAAAGGAAACTGGGACTCAAATCAATGGAGTGGACCAGAAGAAAGCAAATAATGGCCAAACAGAAAAGAATGAAGACATAAAAATTCAAAAAAATGACACGAGACTTAGGAACCTCCAGGACATCTTTAAATGCTCCAACATCCGAATTATAGGGGTACCAGAAGGGGGAAAGGCACAGCCACCAGTGGAAAACTTATCTGAACAAATAATAAAGGAGAATTTCCCCAATCTGGCAAAGGAAATAGACTTCCAGGAAATCCAGGAAGCTCAGAGAGTCCCAAAGAACTTGGACCCAAGAAGAAACACACCAAGGCACATCATAATTACATTAGCCAAAATGAAAATGAAGGAGAGAATCTTAGAAGCAGCAAGAGATAAGGGGATAGTCACCTACAAAGGAGTCCCCATCAGAATGTCAGTGGATTTCTCAAAAGAGACCTTACAGGCAAGAAGGGGCTGGAAAGAGGTATTCCAAGTCATGAAATCCAAAGACCTACAACCAAGATTGCTCTATCCAGCAAAACTTTCATTTAGAATGGAAGGACAGATAAAGTGCTTCTCAGATAAGACCAAATTCAAGGAGTTCATCATCACCAAGCCCTTATTATATGAAATGTTAAAGAGACTTATCTAAGAAAAAGAAGTTAAAAAAGCATGAACAGTGAAAGGACAGCAAACTCACAGTTATTAACAACCACACCTAAAACAAAAGCAAACTAAAAAGACAGCTAGATCAGGAGTGGAAACATAGAAATGAAGATCTCAAGGAGGGTTAGCAACAGGGGAGTGGGAGGAGGAGAAGGGGGAAGAAGGTACAGAAAATAAGTAGCATAGATGGTAGATAGAAAATAGATGGGGGGGCAAGAATAGTATGGGAAATATAGAATCTAAAGGACTTGAGACACATGGTCATAAACTAAAGGGGGGGGTAATGGTGGGGACGGGGGGTAGGGTGGAGGGGAATGAAGGGGGGAATAGAACAACTGTAACAGCATAATCAATAAAAATAAAAAATAAATAAATTAACCTTTAACTTAATAATAGCTTTAACTTTGTATTTTAACCTATTTTTCTTCACTTTATATAGGACTGTGTTTTCATAGGTTGAGATAGTTTATATAATTTTATATTGAATAGTTTGGTAAAGGAATTCTTATTTTAAGGTATTTTATATAGTCATTTTATATATAGGTCCATTTATAAAGCTGACACATTAAGGAACATTGACCAAAGGAGGCAACTTTCTTTCTGACTTTCCTTTTTAAATGTAATCTGGCTGAAGTCTGGTGTTAGGACCAATTACACTGTTTTGTGCTGATACACACTGGGCAGGAGCCAACCATGGCCCTTGGGGCTGGTTTTCCTCACAGTGGACACTGCCAGGGCCAGTGCAGAGCCTCACCCCACCTTGCTTCTGGCATCTCGCTTCAGGTCTGTGGGGTCAGGGAGGTGGGCAGTGGTCCTGAGCTTTCAGGAGGCTGCAGCTGATCTGAGAGACACAAACGTTTTTCTTAAATATTGTTACACATTTCATTTGTACGTGACTAATGTTAAGCCATAATGTTCAAGCTTCTCATGACCTTGAACCTATGCACCCAAAATACATAAGGATAATTAAGAAAAGAGTTTGTTTGTATCTCTCAGATCAGCTGTGACCTCTGCCAGGTTAAGAACCCCATCTAACCATAGCCAAAAAGGAGAGTAGAATGAGGTGGGAGGAGAAAATTAAAATGACTGGAGTTTTTCTGATTCCTATTGTTCTTGCCTTTGGCTATTGGCAGTTGTACTTTCTGCTGAGCAAAAAGCAACCATGTTGACAGGACCCAAAATTTAGTTACACGGAGATCATCAGAAAAGATATCAGATATACAACAAGCCCCTGAGTCAGGCAGCTTCTGAGAGTAGCTGGGCAGTGTTGCACTGCAGAATCTTTCCTGTGCTGCTGTGACGTATGTGAGAGATGTCAGTTCACCGCAGTGTTGTGAAGCTCAAGAGCTC